AGGCCTTCAACGAGATGGATTGATACGGTGGCTGCGATGATGGGCTCAAGTATAGCAGGGATTGTGGGGCTGGCGCGGGATTGGGCAGTGTTTTGTTCTGCTGTGCATGGGTTGGAAATGACTCGACGGCACTTAACAACAACAACAAAGCGTCTCTAAGTGTGTGAGCCATTTTCCTAAGATAAATTTCTCTTTCTCTATGTGTATATAAAAGCTTTACTGGTTTTGCTTCTCTAGAGAACCTAGCCTAACACACCACCTGAGGGGCTCATCTTCCAGTATTATATCACACAAGATTTCAGGGCTATTCATAACATTTTCCAGTAATATATCAGATAATGTTTTACTGCTATTCATAAGGTTTTCACTGGCCAATTCTTTGAGAAGTGGATTGTTCCTTCCTTCTTCTGAGTCTGTCTTAGTCTAGAAGCTCTCCTGAATCCTGTCCACCATGGGTGACCCTGCTGGTATTTGAAATACTGGTGGCATAGCCACCACAGCATGAGAAACTGACATATGAGTGGTGGACATGCATATGAGGTGACTGAAAATATCATGGATTGGGATAGGGGCACTTTAGTCTTCAAAGTGACACCTTTGCTCCTTAACACATTAAAGAGGTCTTTGGCAGCAGATTTGCCCAGTGCAATATTACATCTGATTTCTTTACTGCTGCTTCCATGGGTGTTGACTATGGATCCAAATAAAACGAAATCCCTGATGACTTCAATCTTTTCTCCATTTATTGTGATGTAGCTTATTGGTCCAATCATGAGGATAGTACATTACAAAACTCAGCAAAATAACAAAGATGTGATACTATCAAATAAACTACTGTCATCACTAAAAATTTACCTGTTTTTCACTAACATTCATTTCTGTTTTGGGATTCTGTCCAGGATCCCATATTGCATTTAGTTATTTCTCCTTTGTCTCCTCCATTCTTTCTTTGTCTTTCAAGAAGCTTGACACTTTTGAAGAGTACCAATCAGTTATTTCATTGAATGTCCCTCATTCACCTCATTTTTCATTTGTGGCAAAACATACCACAGAAAAGATGCCCTTTTCAGTGCATCATATCAAGGGGTTCATGATACCAACCATGACCACTTGGTAAAAGAGATTTCTATTGGGTTCCTCCCTTATAAAGTTACTATCCTTCTTTTGCAGTGATAAATGGTACTTTTTTCATTTCCTTCTTTCTTCTTCTTAATTGAAATTCAACTGTATGGGGGAGCTATCTCTTTGGGGATAAGTATTTTACCACTGATGTCGCTTAGAATTACTGACATATAATATATAAAAAGGCTAATATTTAGATGCTTTTAAATTCTCTATAGGCAATGCATGCTCTGTTACCTGTACCTGGGTGGATTGCTCCCACCACCCCATTCCTACAGTCCCTCCCTTTATTATATCACTGGCTACAAAGCTCTAAGCTAGCCCTTGACTCCATCCTCATTTTCTCCCTCTTGACCCTCCATTCACTGTATACTGTCTCTGCCTGAAATGCAGTTCACTCTCAAAGATATTCTCATGGCTTGCTTGGTTTGTCATCTAGCTCTCTGCTCAGAGCTGACCTCCTCAGCGAGGCTTTCTCTGATCCCCTTTCCCATAACTTCCTGTATCCCATTTTATTTTTATAATATGTGTCACTCCCTGTCCTTTTGTATTTATTTGCTTAGTGAACAGAATGTCTTTAAGTAGAATTAAACTTCACGAGGCCCAAGGTTTGTCTATCTTGTTCACTGTTTTTCTCTCAGTGCCTAGAACTATACTACCCCATAGTGTAGCTTGAACAAATCTTTGCTGAATGAATTATTAAATACATGTTCTCTTATGTAAATTTATTTTATGTACATATATACAAAATATCAAGGGCTATAAAATAAATATACTTGTAAAATAAATAAAACATAAAATAAGCAGAGGCTATAATATCTTCTTAACAAATCCTATGGGCTGTACTGTCTGCCTTACACATCCCTTGAGAGCCATGCACACTGCTTTCATCTTTCTTTTTACTTTTTATTGGATTTAAGCTTACAGAGCAAATTCATTTCCCATAAAAACAGTTCATATATGTTTTATTTCATGACAGATTGCAATCCCCAAAATGTATCAGCACTCTTCCTACTTTCTCGCTGTGGTTACTTTTCCCTTGTGTCCTTTCCTATGTATTCCTGCCCTCTGAGCTATCTCTCTGTGCAAATAATGCCCTTCTGATTTCATGTGGTTGATTGTTCTTAGGAGTGTACCCACCTGATGTAAATATTCACCTTATAGGCCTATTTAGCTGGAAGCTGTGGGAGTGAGTTCAATTCCAGGCCCAAAAAAGGTGACTAGGGGTCATAGTCTCAGGGGTTTCACCAGTCTCCATCAGACCAGTAAGCCTGATCTTTTATTATTATTATTATTTTGAGTTTTGTACCACATTTTTCTCTCACTCTATCCAGGGTCTCTTACACTGATCCCTTTCTGAGTAGTTGATAGTGGTAGTCAGGCACCATCTAGTTCTTCTGGTCTCAGGGTCATGTAGGCTGAGATTCCCACGGTCCACTAATCCCTTGGACTAATTGTTTCCATGCATCTTTGGTTTTCTTCATTCTTCTTTGCTCTGGGTAAGGAGAATTACATGACTGCTTGCAAGCTTTTAAGACTCCAGACGTCATTCACCAAAGCAGGATGTGGAACAATGTTTTTGTGTAGTATGTTATGCCAAATGAGCTTGGTGTCCCCCGTGACCATGGTCCCAATGCTTTCATCTTTCTTATGCTCTTCAAAAGCTCCCTTAAGTTTCTCAACTAGCATTCCATTCTGAGTCTCAGATATCTTGTACCAGCTTACTTTTACTTGGGCATTAATCACCTACTTGGGTTTAACGTACACCCACTATTCACTTATCGACATAGTTAGGTGACAGATCAGGTTACCACATTGGTGGTACAGTGGTTAAAGCACTTAGCTGCTAACTGAAAGATCAGAAGTTCAAACTCACCATCTGCTTCATGGGAGAAAGATGTGGCAGTTTGCTTCAGTAAAGATTTACAGCCTTGGACATCCTATGAGGCAGTTCTACTCTATTCTTCAGGGCCACTGTGAGTTAGAATCAACTCAATGGTAATGGGTTTGTTTTTTGGTTCTACATCAAACGATCTTTTGTGTAAACATGTAAGCCTGAGAATTATAACTCTACAGTTTACAAACAGAATGGACAATTTACACAGTACCAAGACAGAACAGAATCTTTGTATATAAAAATTAGTCTCACCAGTGCAGCCAAATAACGAAGCACCTTGTTATCATTCACCAGCATTTTAACAATGTCTTTTCTCGGAGCTTTTGGAATCAGAGCAAAGCAATTCTGAGCAGAATCCTCAACTAGTCCATAACCATTATAGGGAGGTAATTCCTGGAGACACACAGGAAGCAAGAAGGAAAGCAGATGTTATACATGTTAAAATTGCGCTAAAGGTAATTTCTTAAAAACCTTCTGGGAAACATTTATCCAAAAATAATTCCTACATATAAAGGTTTAGTCAGAAAAAAAATAACATATAACTTACTTTCTTCCTTTTTATTTATGGATTTTACCTCATGCTCACTGATCACAGAAATGGCTGATGATGCAACGAAGTAAGCCCATGCTAGGTAGAAACTTATTTATTCCATAACCTTTTACTGTCAGAGTAGGTCTCAGCCCCATCCCAGTACCAGCCTTGGCCTTTGTGGTCATTCCAAAATGAGGAAGCCCATGGCTCTGTCTGGGACCAATTTGTCCTAGGATATAGACCTCAGATCTGGAAACTGTTTCCTTAGTTCACCTAAACTGTGTGTGTGTGTGCTGGAGTTGAGGGAGGGGGTGGGCAGGACTTGGTGCATGCTACTTTCTCTCCTAATTACCCCCATATTTCTAATATTCTTATTTTTTTAATTTTTTGCCCCACAGAAGAGAGATGATTGTCATACATTTTTGGGAATTCAAAACCTCTGTTCTTTCCGTAAAAAAGCACACTTCAGAAACCAAATTTCAGATCAAAGTTACTTGGTAAGTGAGTAGTAGACATGTATGTTACTTTCTTGTGACCACCTGGATCCACCTGAGTGGAAATGGGGGAAGTGCAGCAAAGAAGAAACAGGCTGAGTTTGGTACTCTTTGACCTAGGCCCAGAGGCTGGGGATGAGAGGAAGGGCTGGCTGGTCTGAAGTGCAATGAATTGTGAGCCTACGGGCATTGAAATAGTCCCTGAGGACTGAAGATGTGAGAGAAGGTGCTGGCTGGCCTGAAGTGAAGGGAAGAGTGTGACTCCCAAACTTGGCAGCTGGTACCCATGACCTAGCTGGGATGGCTAGAGCTGAGCTGACCAGAACCCGACCAAATGAAGAGGAAGATGATTGACACGGCTGGTGTTAAGTTGCTGCAATTTGATGGCTTGAGCTGGGCTGGACTTTGCTTGTTTATGGATCTAGATGCCTGAAGTTTCCAAACAGAACAGAAGATGATTTTCCAGAGAGAAAGGACCATGCTTGTCTCCTCAGAGTACTGGCTTGATAGGGATGGGCAAATTAGAAATTGGCTATTTAAAATGGGGGGAGATAAAGGCATGAAGTGGCTGGCTTACACGCTTTCATGGGTGTGGTTATTCTTAAACTGATGGTGAAGGGGATGTGAATTTTTGAAGTTTAAAAGGGATAATGGCTAGAAAAGCCAGGGGGTGGCCTGTGGTATAGTAAATTACTTTGTGTGGCTTTTCTACCCATAAGTCTTTGTAAACTCCAAGGTGGAATTTGCTATGAGCAACTGAGGAGCTCCTGATTGCTGAAGGCGTCCACCTGGAGTATTTCTGTTGGGAGTGGCACAAAACAATGTTCTGGGAGGTGCCCACTCTCTCTCAGGTGCTTAGAGTTCTGATGCCATAATTGGCTAGTTTGACCACCGTGCGGGCTCTAAAGGAGACCTCCAGGAGGCAGAACTCTCTCGGACTGCTGGTCAAGGAAGACTTACTGCTGAAAGAGACACGGGCTCCTGAGACACACATTGCTGGGAAAGAGACACAAGAGACACGCACCCCAGAAAGAGACTGTGAGAGACTCTTGGCTGAGGGACGGTGGGCTGGGAGAGAGACTGAGCGTTCTTCCTGAATTTGAGTTGTAGACTGGTGCTTCCCTAATAAACCCTGTAATCTGTGAGTTCTGTGTGGCCACTGCAGTGAATTATCGAACCCAGGAGAGAGGTGGTGGGTGCTTTGGGAGGAATGGTTGGTGAAAGGGCTGGAGGGAGGCAGCATGTTTGGCCTTGCAGTAATAGGCCTTGGGTTACTGCTGTCTTCCTCTTGTGAGATTAGAGGAGGTCAGAACATGTGGCCTCCTTGCCATTTTTGCAGTAAGTTAGTGTGAAGGTATAGGATAAGCGTATGTGTTTCATTTAGGCTTCATGAAGAACTGAAAACAACACTCTAGGATGCTAAGATTTGTTTGCCTAAAAACAAGTACTTCAGACAATAAGTTTATTTTCCTTTTTCTCATCGTGCTGGGCGGACATCAGCAGAGTACTTTATCCCTGACTCCTTTTTGCTATGCTTTCTCAGCAAAATCAGCTTGCACTATGCCTTTTTACCTCTAGATACTGTTCTGGTTACCTAGTGCCACTCTGACAGGAATATACCACAAATGTGGATGGCCTTAAACAAACAGGAATTCATTCTTACAATTTGGAGGCTTTAAGTCCAAGTTCAAAGTGCCAGGCTCTAAGGACTGGGTGAAAGCCCCTAAACCTTGGGCTTCAGCTCTGCCTTCTGTTCCAGCCTACTGGAGCAAAAGGGTTTTCTTCACTCAGCTGCTGGCTGCTGAGGCTGACAAGCCCATGCTTGACAAGTAAAAAGGCACCGTCCTGATGTTACCAAACAACATGGCAGGCCATCAATTCAAGTCCATTGAAAGTTCTAAGGTTGGCAGAGCATGGTAGGCTGCTGAAAAATGACACAGCTATATGCAGGGTTCAAGCATGCCACAAGCTAGAGACCATTCCCAAAGCTGTTTCTTATATACGGGAAGCAGACCACATCCCTAAAGCAGCTACTCAGCTGCTTGTGGTAGGTCCCACCATGGAGGTGACTGCCAGTCTCATCATGGGGAATAACTACCACCAGCTGCCCAGCCACTCAACCAGGCCCAGTCAAGTTGACATACAAGCTTAACCACCCAAGATAAATTCCCCAAATCATTTGTTTAAATATTGTATTCAAGCACTTGAACAAATAGGTCCATATGATTCCTGGTACCATCCATAACAGGGTATTCCCTCAACAACCAATGACTGTTATGTTCCTCCAAGGTATAGTTCTTTGAACACTGACCCCTTACCCATTTTCTGGGGCTGGAGTTAATTGATCATAATGCTGGAATATGACTAGTGGATCCAGCAGTTAGACAACGGCTTAATTTTATAGAGGTTAGGATTTATAATACATCACAAAATGGATGACAATTACATCATATCACAAAATGGAAGACAACCACAGAGTACTGGGAATCATGACCTAGCCAAGTTGACAAATATTTTGGAGGGACATAATTTAATCATGACATTCCATTCTTTGGGCCCCCAAAATTCATGTCCTTGACACAAGTAAAATACATTCACCTCATCATATAAACCTAAAAGTCTTAAATCGACTCCAAGGCCAAAATCTCATCTTCTGAATCAAATATGGGTGAGACTTTACATATATTCCATCCCAGAGCAAAATTCCTCTTCATCTCCTACTATGTATCCAGATAGAACCAGCCTAAGACAGAACACATCTGGTAATTGTATACATGTTTATTTACTCCTGATCTAGAAGATCAGCTTAACCTATAAGTGTCTTGATTCTCAGATTGAATATACCCAATTCATATCCACCCCTCTCCATGACCATTGGGCAGAACTCTTTCCAGACTCTGCTATAACTTCCCAGGCCTAGTTGCCAACTAAGCAGTCCAGGATTAAAATGACTGAAGTATAATGACTAAGGTATTTTCTGCTTGGTAGGTAAAGTTTTCCTCCTTATTACTGACAAAGACTTCCATAGAGTCCTGCACAGACAGTATTTATTTGTAGTAGATCTTATTTACTGTGGAGAATTTACTAGAAACAAACTGACTAAACACTGATTAATGTGCCATCTGTACAGGTTTAGATTTAGCTTTATTTTACAGAGGGCTGAGATTAGCCAAAACAAACAAACAAAAAATCTACAGTGATTCTTCATTCAGTTATCTCTGCTCTTTATCCAAGCCTCCTCTTCACTTTCTTTCCTTAGAAAATATGTTAGAAGAAAAAAGATAATTGTAATGGCAGTAGGGATCAGATGTATCCTAGGAATCAAAAGCTTTCATCTGGTTGAAAAGTGGATCAAAGTCTTTTCATTAAGAAAGTACACCATTAAAATGGAAAAACCCCACACACACCCTACCATCTCAAGCACTGGTTACATAAAACTCATTCTTTGTAAGATTGTTTGCCATTCAATAATTGTCTTGTACCTTAGAATGTGACCTTGGCCATGTCCCTTAAACTAATCTCAGACTATCGTATCTATGAACTAAAATGCTTCATCTATACTAGAAGAGCAAAATAAGAGGACTCACAGTTACCAATTTTGAAATGTGCTACTGAAGCTACAGTAATCAAAACAGTGTGGTACTGATACAGGGTTAGATATAAAGGCCAATGGAATAGAATTGATAGCCCAGAAATAAACCCATACATCTATAGCCAATTGATGTTGACAAGGGTGTCAAGGCCATTGATGGGGGAAAAACAGTCTCCGACAAATGGTACTGGGAAAACTAGATGTCCGCATGCAAAAGAATGAAGTTAGACCCTACCTCATACCACATATAAAATTAACTCAGAATGGATGAAAGACCTAAATATAAAAACTAAAAGCATAAAACTTTTAGAAGAAAACATAGGGGTAAAGCTTCAAGACTTTGTTTTGACAATGAATTCTTAGATATGATACCAAAAGCATAAGCAACAAAAGACAAAATAGATAAATTGGATTCCATCAATATTAATAACTTACACACATCAGAGGACTTATCAACAAAATGAAGAGACAATTTCCAGAATGGAAGAAAATATTTGGGAACCATGTATCTGATAAAGGTTTAATGTCCAGAACAGATAAAGAACTACAACTCAACAACAAAAAGACAACCCAGTTTCAAAATGGGAAAGGGACTTGAATAGACAATTTTTTTTCCAAAGAAGATACACAAATGGCCAATAAGCATATGAAAAGATGCTCAGCATTATTAGTTAATAGGGAAATGCCAATCAAAACCACAATGAGATAGCACTTCACACCCACTTGTTGCTGTTAAGTGCTGTCAAGTCAGTTCTGACTCAGAGTGACCTTCTTTATAACAGAACAAAACACTGCCTGGTCCTGCACCATCCTCACAATCTATTGAGGCCTCTGTTACAGCCACTGTGTCAATCCATCTCATTGAGGGTTTTCCTCTTTTTCATTGACCTTCTTTTTTTACCAAGCATGATATCCTTCTCCAGGGACTGGTCCCCCCTGACAACATGACCAAAGTATGAGAGGTGAATTCTTGTCATCCTCGCATCTAAGAAGCATTCTAGCTCTACTTTGTCCAAGACAGATTCATTTATTCTTCTGGCGGTCCATGGTATATTCAATATTCTTCACCAACACCATAATTCAAATGCATCAATTCTTCTTCAGTCTTCCTTACTTATTGTCAACACCCACTAGGATAGTTCTTATTAGAAAAACAGAAAATAACAAGTGTTGGCAAGAATGTGAAGAAATTGGAATCCTCATGTATTGCTGATGGGGATTTAAAATGGTGCTGCTACTGTGGAAGACAGTTTGGGAGTTCCTCAGAACATTAAACAGAATTACCATGCCCCAGAAGTTCCACTCCTATGTATATACCCAAAAGACTTGAAAGCAGGACTCAAACAGATATGTAGACACCAATGTTCACTGCAGCATTATTCACAATAATCAAAAGGTGGAAATAACCCAAGTGTCCATCAACAGATGAATGGATAAACAAAATATGGTATATACATACTGTCTTAATTCTCTAGTGCTGTCATAACAGAAATACCACAAATGGGTGGCTTTAACAAACAGGAATTTATTCTTTTACAGTTTACGAGGCTGTTGTTGTTACATGCCATCGAGTCAGACCCGACTCATAATGAGCCCTCCTTGGGTTTCCAAGGCGGTATCACTACAGAAGTAGATTACCCAATCTTCCTTCTGAGGAGTGGCTGGTGGGTTTGAACCTCCAGCCTTCTGGTTAGCAGTCAAGTGCCTTAGGCACCACACTACCAGAGCTCCTTTTACAAGGCTAGAAGTCTAAAGTCAGTGTGTCAGCTCCAGGAGTTGGCGGAAGACCCTCAACTTTGGACTTTAGCTCTTCCTCTTATTCCAGGACAACTGGACCTGGAGATGTCTCCTAACACAGCTGCTGGATGCTGTGGCTGACAAACCTAAGGTTAGCAGGTAAAATGTCACAATCCCAAGATCAGCAGGTAGCATGGCTGGTTACTGGTTCAAGTCCAGGAATGGGAGATGAAGACTCAGCCAAATGCAGGATCAAAAATGTGCCCAAAAGCTAGAGAACTTTCTCAAAGCTTCTCCATGTATACTGGAAGCAGGCCATGCCTCAAAGGCAACTAATTAGCTGTTCACGGCAGACTGCATGATGGAGGTGATTACACTACATCCAATCTCATCATGGGGAATAACTACATTAAGTACCAAGTCACTCAAAATCATGGCCCAGCCAAGTTGACACACAACCTTAACTACCACACATACAATGAAATATTATTAGCCATAAAGAGAAAAGAAGTTCTGATATATGTTATGAGTTGGATGAACCTTGAAAACAAGTGAAACAAGCCAGACACAAAAGGGAAAATATTGTATGGTTTCGCTTGTATAAAATACCTAGAATAGCCAAATGCATAGAGAGATATGAAATATTTATTAGTGGTTACCAGGGGCTGGGAGGAAGGAGAAATAAGAAGTTATTGGTTAATGGGCATTGAGTTTGTTTGGGGTGATAAAAGTTGTTTAGACATTAATAGTGGTGATAGCTGCACACCTGGTGAATATAGCTAATGTTACTGAATTGTGCACTTAAAAATGGTTAAAATGGCAAATGTTTTGTTATATATATACTTATGTTTTGGTTACTTAGTGCTCCTATACCAGATATACCATGAATGGGATGGCTTTAATGAACAGGCATTTATTCTCTTAGAGTTTCCAAACTCACTGCCATGGAGTCAGTCCTGACTCATAGCAACTCCTCCTTGGATTTCCGAGGCTATATCTCTACAGAAGTAGATTGCCCAACCTTTCTTCTGAGGAGTGGCTTGTGGGTTTGAACCGCCAGCCTTCTGGTTAGCAGTCAAATGCCTTAGGCACTACATCATCAGTGCACTATGCTACCAGAGCTCCCTCTTAGAGTTTAGAAGGCTAGAAATCTGAGTTAAAAGTGCCAAGCTCTAGGTGCTGGGTGAGAGCCCCTCAACCTTGGGCTTCAGCTCTGTTTTTCGCTCCAGCATACTGAAGCTGGAGGCTTTTCTTCACTCAGGTGCTGAGGCTGGCAAACTAAAGGTTGACAAGTAAAAAGGCACAGTGCCAAGATTATCAAACAACACAGCAGGCCACTAATTCAAGTTCATTAACAGTCCCAACACTGGCAGACAACACGGCAGGCCACTGAGATGAAGACTCAACTTCATGCAGAGTTCAAGCATGCCAAGAAGCCCAGAGACCTTTCTCAAGGCTTCTCCTTTTATACTGGAAGCAGACCACATTCCTAAGGCTTAGCTGCTCTAGTAGATTCCACCATGGAGTTGATTACCAGTCTCATAGGGGGAATAACTACACCCAGCTGCCTAGCCACTCAAAACTAGGCCCAACAAAGTTGACACACAATCTTAACTACCACAATATACAAATAATAAAAAGAAAAAAATCTACATTTGTTCATGTGGTATTTTTTCCTGTATTATGCAACAAATAATGCTAAAATATTGGGCTGGGCTGGGGGTGTGTGATAGTTAAGTTTATGTGCCAACAAACTTAAGTTGGCTGGGCCTGGTTGAGTGCTGGGCAGCTGAACGTAAGTTATTCCTCATGGTGAGACTGGTAATTAACTCTATGGTGGAATCTACTGGAGCAGCTGAGTAGCTGTTTTGGGATGTGGTCTACTTCCAGTATATAAGCAGCAGCTTTGAGAATGGTCTCTAGCTTATGGCATCCTTGAACCCTGCATGTAGCCAAGTCGTTGTTCAGCAGCCTACCATGCTCTGCTGATCTTGGGACTTTCAATGGAGTTGAATCAATGGCCTGCTGTGTTGTTCAGTAACATCGGGACTGTGCCCTTTTACTTGTCAAGCTTGGGCTTGTCAGCCTCAGCAGCCAGCAGCTGAGTGAAGAAAAGCCTCTGGCTTCCGTGGGCTGGGAGCAGAAGTCAGAGCTGAAGCCCAAGGTTGAGGGGCTTTCACCCAGCCCCTAGAGCCTGGCACTCTGAACTGGGACTTAAAGCCTCCAAACTGTAAGTGAATAAACTCCCGTTTGTTAAAGCCATCCCATTTTTGGTATATTCCTGTCAGAGTAGTGCTAGGTAACCAGAACAGGATGGCAAAGGTTTTGTTGTAAATCTTTATCAATGAGCATATTGATTTTTATTAGAGGAAAAAAAAAAAAAAACCTGACAGCAAGAGGTATTATCATCACCCACACTTCCTTTCAGAAGTGACATTGCCCCTGGGAACTCAAAACATACCAAAATCCAAATCTTTCTAATTGTTTTCATGAAACACTGGTTCTAAAAAGCTTGCCTAAAATATCACCTGCCTTTTTGAGGAACACCATGTACATCATAGGCTATCCTCTTCAGTCTAGTTGAAAAAACAGGTCTCCTATTTGTTAGGCACTATATTAAGCACTGAGAGCATAAAAATGAATAGGACATCATCCCTGCCATGAAGGAAATTATAGCCTAGCAGAAAAGATTCATAACCAGATATTTGAATATAATTGAGTTTTCAGTGGAAGGGGTCACAGAGTATCCCAGGAATGCAGATGAGAGGTTTTTAGGCCTGCTTGGAGCTTTAGGGAAGCCTTCTTTACAGACAGGAGGCCTAGAAGAATGAGGAAGGGCTATGTAAAGGAATGCTGGAAAAGTAATTCAAGCAGGTGGAAGAGTATTAGCAAAAGTCTAGGCGATGTTGTTCTGACAAAACCACATGCAATTCAGTAACTGAAGAATGAGTACAAGGAAAGGGGTGGCAGATGCAGGATGGTGGGTAGGGAGAACCAGGGGCTTAGGCAGAGAGGAAATCAGTAATTCCATCCTTTTGCTCATAGCCTTCTTTAGAAGAGAAAGATTCTAGTGACATTAATTGATACTCACAGTAGCGATATAAAGATTGGCCACAGGTTTTAACCCCCTATTTTATAGATGGCACTAGACATAGATTGTATGAGTTACTCCTACCTTAAGTGGCATAACATCAGTGTTTAGTCCATGATACTGTTCTGTTTTCTATAATATGTAAGGTTTTTTTTAACCTGTATTTTATTTATTTATTTACTTGGAAATGATTACTTACTTTCTTTATAATATGTAATTTTTTAAAAGCATGCAATTCTTATTTTAAACTCTTAACACATGGGGTCTAACAGAATTCTGCAGTCTCACACTTGTCAAATTATTATTTCAGTGTCTTAAAAGTGCCATGACCTTACTGTGGTGTCACAGTGAACTTTGCCATGCATAGAATGGAATTATGTGGTTCTAAGAAAAGCTTTGTTGCAATGAGAGAAAGCCATCCTCCAACAACTTAATCAGTCTTCTATTGCACTCACTTTTATTTTGTTAAAATATGTACAACAAAACATACACCTATTCAATAATTTTTATACACAGATGAATGACATTGGTTACATTCTTTGTATTGTATCACCGTTCCCACTATTTCTACTGCACATTTCTATTTCTTTGATTACTGGTTAGATTAAGAATCTTTTCGTATGTTTATTGGCCATTTGTCTTTCTTGTTTTGTGAACTGCTTTATTTCATATTCTTTGTCCATTTCTTATTGGGTATTCATTTTCCTCTTTTCCCCCCTTTTTCTTAAGTTTCCATATCAAAAGATTAATTTTCTCACCACACTCAAACTAGTGCTTCATTACCTGTTTCACAGGTGGTGGTTCCTTCTTGCTCACATCAATAACTGGTAAGTCAGTGATTCCAAACTTTTCTCTGTAAAACTGTCGAGTAAATGGATCACAATCATAAATGAAGAACGTTCTCCCAAGGATAGTGAGTGGTTTCCCAACAATAAAGTCCTTGGCAGTATACCATTCCAACACTTCTTGATCAGAAATTTCTAGCACACACTGAGGGAAGTTCTCTAACATAAGACAGAGGAGAGAGAATAGGAGGAGGAATGAGTATGGGAAGAAAGGCTGACACACAACACCTAACGATTCTTGAGAACCTGAGGGAGTGCAGTCTTGTAATATGGTCAAGGATCAAGGACTCCCTTACATCCCTACTAGAATATAAGGATCTGTACTTCTATCTATTGACAGCATGGAGACAGTTTTTGTAAAGTATCTCTCCATATTTAGCTGCAACTATCATTCAGAGTTACTAATCTTAGTAGAATTAATGCCTAGAAGAAATTACTACAAAAAGAATAAATGTCCTTCTATACACATGGAGTCTCAGACCTAAAAGGGATTCAAGTCACTTGGGTGGAAGACCAGAATTGTACCTTAGTCCCAGTGTCATAAGATTCCTAGAATGGAAGAGGCTGAGTATAAGGATAGAGGAGGTAGCAGCCAGGCTATGGGAAACTAGGGCACAGTTCTAGTTGCCACTATCGGAGAACACAAGTCCAGTGTGGCCATTCACTCAAGAAAACTGAGAAACCTACATTTCTATATGTGAACTCTCCTAATTTTAAAATGATGGAAATTAATTTTTATTCCCATTTGTCTCTTTTCCTTACTATCATTCTTCTCTCTCTGGCATGGCATCATTCTAATGTGCAGCTTTTTTGTCTGATTGTATGTATACTACGTTTTTCTTTGTAATTTTATTGTGGTAAACTATATATAAGAAAATGTTGCTATTTCACTTTTACATGTACAATTGAGTGACATTAATTACATTCACCATGTTGTGTAACCATCGCCACCACTATCTGCTTCCAAATTTTTTCTTAACAGAAACTTGATACCCCTTAAGCAACAAACTACCCTTTTCCTCTCCCACCTATCCCTGGTAACCACTAATAAACTTTGATCTCTATGCACTTGCCTATTCTAGGTATTTCATATATGTGGGAGCATAAATATTTGTCCTTTTGTGTCTGACTTACTTCATCCACTTTGTAGCATATATCAGAACTTTATTTCCTTTTTATGGGTGAATAATGTTCCATGCATGTGTATACTATATAATATTTATCCACCCATCTGTTGATGGATACTTGGGTTGTTTACACCTTCTGGCTATTGTAAATAATTCTGAAGTGGTCATTGGTGTATAAGAATCTGAGTCCCTGCTTTCATTGCTGGGTCATATGGTAATTTTGTGTTTAATTTTCTGAGGAATGTACTACGCTTTATGTGCACATATTTTATATTATGTAAATGGCATTGCGATATACATCTAATTTTACTTCCTTTTTTCTATATGCATTATGTTTTTAAGATCCATCCATTTGCTTTCTATGTACTTCTAGTTTATTGCTTTTAACTGCTGAATGGTAATCAAGATATTATCTCCTCCACATTTTGTCTATCTACTCTTGCAATGGCAGAAACCCCAAATACCTTGCTCACAAATAACAGTGTGCTTTTTTAAACATTGTGCAGGCCACAGACACATGAGGAGGGTGAAACTAGCCTGCACACTGCCAACTGTTTATAACTCCTAATCTTCTTTCTCAATACCTGGATTTTCTTACCTTTTAGTTCCCAAAAATACAGTGAAAAGAAAATAATAAATGAAAATATTTATAGAGTTGTCAGTCACCCAAGCATGCATGACATGAGAGATGTCATTACATGTGACCAAGATGACATTTTTGTAAGAGAAAATTCTTAAAGTACTAAGTCAGTAACTAAAGCAAGCCCACTTATCCCAGGAAATATATTGGTGATGGCAGATGTCAACTGCATGTTGCTGCATACTCACTCTCTAACCCACTAGGTTATTTTAAACCAGAAAACAAAGAGCAGACATTTACACAATGGGGCTCCACCTCTATGAGTCATAGACATGCCTTTTCCAAGTTCAGGTTATCTCATAGAGAAACTGCCTTCTTAGGAAGCAGTTGAGAAGAAATGCCAAGAAAGCACATAAGGAAGTGCTAAGCTATATCCTCGAATGAAAGCAGGCCTCTTTAAAAAAATGTGTAAAGTAAATCTGATATTAAATTGTTCCAGTTCAGAAATGTAGCTCAATTACACTTTAAATAAATCTCCTACTGTTGCTTTGCTTCTGTTTCCATGAGGTGGGCATCAGTCATCTCCACCAGACCATCTCTGAGGAGTAGCTAGACCAAAGTGCAGGTAAAGGAGTGAACTTATGGGAAATTCATTCTCTGAGCACAAGGAGAACACAGCAAGAGCTTCCCAACTGTAAAGGGAATGGTCGAACTAAGTACCACCTCTGAAATGCAAAAAAGGTCCCATCTAACCGAGGACAAGCTGAGTCAAACATACTTGCATTCTCTACCAAAATCTTGGGCAGGCGTTGTCTGTTCACCAGGAGTGGAAAAGGATCTCGCCCATTATTCCGTTCATGGACCTCCCGAATTTCCACCGTATCATCCACAAGATAGTAATGAATGATATAGGTCCGACATTCACCAAACATGCTGTCTGTATCATCCCAGATCGCATAGAATCGAAGAACCTTTGAGGAATCCAAAGCAGTGAGTTAAGTAAGAATCCTACCAGTGGAGAATTTAACTAAGCTACTTTGGCATTTACATATCAAACAATGATATAAAGATTGGCTGGAAAGTCTATAAATTAATCTCAGATGGTGGATTGAAAAAAAGAAAAATTCATGAGACACTGATGCAACATGTACCAGCTGGAAATAATTGAATATTAGACTTAACAATTTGTGCCAAGAAAGATGAGTTCATTTTGATCCAAAATATTAGTTAGTGAAAAGAGAAGTTGAATTAAAAGAACAATGGATCCTTTCCATGGTGATTTGTATGTGTTAATAAAGGCACACATGAATAGTTTATATATAATCAATATGAAAAAAATGTTCATTTATCCATCTATTGGCCTTTTTTTATCAACAACATAATCTTTAAATGCAAAGGAATAGCAGATGTATGATTGTTACAAAGAAAATCCTTGTAAAGCCATCCTACTGAGAGATAAAATTTTCTGGTATAAAAGTAATTACATTTCTGAAAGAATAAGAGCACTGAAAAAAAAGTTGACAACAATGTTTGTTCCCCCTCTCTTTTCTCCTTCCTTTTAGTAAAGAAAGGAGAAGATATCTGCCAGCCCACAGGGAAAGAACAGGAAGATTATCTGGAAAATACCCAGAACATTCCGTACTCATACATTGATATAAAATTTAAACCCCTCAGAAATATGGTTTCTATGGAATTATTATATTAATATTAGAAGACTACATTTATTTATTCAAGGAATTTCCCAATAATTCATTTAAGGTTTCTCAAAGGATTCTGAGATTAACTCACATTTGGGGAAAGAAATGACTAAAATGGAAGCAGATGTAGCTTAGGAATTGTTTGGTGGAACTCACAAGACTTAACTCCAAAATTTCTGTGGATCTCTAACATGAAATTAAGGTATTCTTATACTTCTAACCCTAGATGAAACCAGAAAGGTAGCACTGTATCCAAAAAAGTTAAATTATAGATGTAATGTTTCAAAACATACATGTACCAAAATAGTTGGCTGATAGATATATAAGCCACATTAGAAAATGAGTAAAGCCTAGGTCACTTACTTGTTTGTCAAATGTGAGAAACTGCTTGAGTTGATCAAAGTCCGATGGGGTGATATACTTACGAAGAGGCTGTTTGCGGAGTTCAGTGTAAGGATCAAGAGCCATTTTCTCTGGGGGATTTAATTCAATTCCTTGACTTTCCAAAAATACCTGGATAATTCAAAATTAAAACATGATCATCCTCCTTGAAGTTTCTTAGAGTAAGTAAAAAATTAATGGTACAAAAATAAAATGCAATGATAATTTCTATATTATTGTCCTAGTCAACCATTAAACCATTTGTAGCTTGAGCATGTATCAACAATGGTACTAAGCCTTGAACTGACCCAACTCTATACTGCAGATAATAATGAATAATTACCTTATGCATTTCATATTATAAAATTGCTAGGCAACATGCTAAGCTAGTCTTAGCATGATTATAAAGTAACTAGTTCTAAGTATAAATTCAGATTGAGATTAATGAAATTTATTTAGGTGCCAAAAAACAGAGTAAGTCCTAGGATTGCTTACATTTAATTATCCAGACAGTAAACGTAGTTTCAACACAATATATAATTCATATTAGATATACAAACCAAAACCAAACCCACTGCCATCGAGTCAATTCTGACTCACAGCAATTCCCATTGGGTTTCCAAGGCTGTAAATCTTTATGGAAGTAGATTGCCTCGTCTTCCTCCCAAGGAGCAGCTGGTAGGTTTGAACCACCAACCTCCTGGTTAGCAGTCAAATGCCTTATGTACTGTGCCACCAGTGGTCCTTATATTAGGTATGGGAGAGAGCAAAATAATAGCCAAAGTTAAGGTGAAATCATATTCTCAACTTTCTAACTTAATTTTAAAAAGGGTATGATTAAGTCTCTTCCCATCCTCCATCTATGAAAAGGGTGAGGGGGAGCGCTATCCAGTGGTTATTAAGACTAGAAAACATTTTCACAAATCAGAAAACACAAATCTAATGCTCAAATCTCACCAGAAAAAGTAAGGAAAGCATCTGAATTCAACATAATCCTGCTAATTATAAATAAGTATAATATTATTTCACACTTACTGTATTTTTTCATACCACTTGGCATTTCATCTTCATTACCACAATAAACTATACCTTGTGTGGTAGTTAAGGTTGTGTGTCAACTTAGCCAAACCTGGTTGAGTGGCTGGGCAGCTTGTGGTAGTTACTCCCCACGATGAGACTGGCAATCAGCTCCACAGTGGGATCTACCACAAGGAGCTGAGTAGCTGTTTTAGGGATGTGGTCTGCTTCCTGTATATAAGCAGCAGATTTGGGAATGGTCTCTAGCTTAGTTTATAGCACGCTTGAACCCTGCACATAGCCATATCATTGTTCAGTAGCCTGCCATGCTCTGCCGATCTTGGGACTTCCAATGGACTTGAAAGAACAGCCTGCCTTGTTGCTTGGTAACATCGGGACTGTGCCATTTTATTTGTCAACCTTGGGCTTGTTAGCCTCAGCAGCCAGTAGCTTCCTGAGTAAAGAGATACCTCAAGCTTCGGTGGGCCGAGAACAAGAGGCAGAGATGAAGCCCAGGGTTGAGGGGCTTTCACACAGCCCCTAGAGCCTGGCACTTTGAACTTGGACTTAAAGCCTCCAAATTGTAAGAATAAACTCTTGTTTGTTAAGGCCAACCCATTTGTGGTATATTCCTGTCAGAGAGGCACTAGGTAACTAAAACACTTTGTTTTATAATCAAAAAAAAAAAAAAAAAAAGTATAACTTCATAGAATTTTTTTACATTCTGGAAATGGAAATTGATGTGAAGAATGGGTTTCTTTTGGGAATTGTGACATTTGCTTTTTGGACAATTCAATAGAAAATATACAGAACTCAAGGCCAAAATATTTCGTCCTATTGTTAGCTTTGCGGCTAACTAGCTTATGATCTTAGTAGTTAAGATTTTACTAGGCAGTCACCAATATTCTTTCAATATAAAAATATGGTCTTAATATCTATTAGGGAGCTCTGGTGGCGTAGTGCCCTAAGGCACTTGACTGCTAACCAGAAGGTTGGCGGTTCAAACCCACCAGCCACTCCTTGGAAGGAAGATTGGGCAATCTACCTCCATAGAGATACTGTGTTGGAAACCCAAGGATGGGTCTCTATGAGTTGGAGATAACTGGACGGCACATAACAACAACAACAACAACAACAACAACAACAACAACAACATCTATTAAAGGAACTCTGGTGGTGCAGTGTCTAAAGCATTTGACTGCTAACCAGAAGGTTGGCAGTTCAAACCTACCCAGCTACTCCATGGAAGGAAGATGGGGCAACCTACTTCTGTAAAGATATACCACCTCGGAAACCCAGCGGGGTCACTATAAGTCAGAATCGACTAGATGGCAGTGAGTTTGGTATTTTTTTTGGTAACATCTATTAAAACTGCTGACCTGGAGATAATGATTATCAATAAAATTCCCCTGTCCCTTGAGATGATGGATTATTGTAGCATGATTATTGTTGGAGGCAATAGTGAGAATTTTACTCTCTTACGGTGCTTCAAACAAATAATCAGGCCTTTTGATAACTTTACATTAGGGATATGACAGGAAGGTAGACACTTCCTGAATTCAATTGTTTTCTTATGTTTTAGAAAAACCTAGATAATTATATAATGTCCCAGAGAGAGAGGTAGAAACAAGGGAATGCTTTTGAGTGCAAGCACAGAAGGGGGAAATTCCTCCAGACAGGTGGAGGTGGGTGGGGCTCCAAAGAGTGGGACCTGACAGGTACGTGCTTTGTGGTGCTGCTTGGAGCACACACATAGCCAGAGTCAGGAACATTCAGTCTCAGGCATTTTCAAGGCCCAGGATCTCACATAGCACCAAAGCATCAGGGAAGTGTCCCTGGCATTGGGCTACAGTCCACATTGTTGCCTATGGGCCCCATCTGTACAAATCCTTTAGGTCTGAAGTGCCACTGCTTCCTTATTGTGCTTAGAGCCTGGAATCTTTGGCAAAGCTGAGGATGAAGAGAAACACTTCCGTAGTTTGACCAGGATTTAAGTAGCTGTTAAGAAGCTCTGGTGGCATAGTGCCTGAGGCATTTAACTAGTAACCAGAAGGTTGGAGGTTAAACCCACCAACCACTCTGTGGAAGGAAGATGATACATGTGGGCCTCACCAAATGGAATACACAGGAATCAAATCGACTATATCTGTGGAAAGAGGGGATGGAGAAGCTCAACATCATCAGTCAGACAAGGCTAGGAGCTCACTATGGAAAACACCATTAATTGCTCACATGCAAATTCAAACTTCTAAAGCAAGTCCAAGAGAGCCAAATATGACCTTGATTTACATCCCACCTGAATTTAGAGACCATCTCAAGAATAGATTTGACATATTGAACACCACTGACCGAAGACCAGATGACTTGTGGAATGACATCAAGAACATCATACATGAAGCAAAAGGTCATTGAAAAGACAAGGAAGGAAGAAAAGACCAAAATGCACATCAGAAGAAACTCTGAAACTTGCTCTTGACCACAGAATAACTAAAGTGAATGGAAGGAATGATGACATAAAAGAGCTGAAGAGAAGATTTCAAAGGGTGGCTCAAGAAGACAAAGTAAATTACAATAATGAAACATGCAAAGACCTAGAATTAGAAAAACAAAAGGGAAGAACATGCTCAGCATTTCTCAAGCTGAGAGAACTGAAAATAAAAGGCAAGCCTCAAGTTGCAATATTGAAGGATTCTATGGGCAGAATATCGAATGATGCAGGAAGCATCAAAAGAAGATGGAAGGAATACATAGAGCTAGGCAATCTATTTCCATAAAGATTTACCACCTTAGAAACCCAAAGGAGGTTGCTATGAGTTGGAATCAACTCGATGGCAGTGAGTTGAGTACTGTACAAAAAGAATTGGTCAACATTCAACCATTTCAGGAGGTAGTATATGAAGAAGAACCTATACTACTGAAGGAAGAAATCCAAGTTACACTGAAGGAAACGGTGAAAAACAAGGCTCCAGGAACTGACAGAAGGAGCTGGGGTGGCATAGCACCTAAGGCATTTGACAGCTAACCAGAAGGTTGGCAGTTCAAATCCATCAGCCACACCACAGAACGAAGACTGGGCAATCTACTTCCACAAAGATTTATGGAAGTAAATTGCCTCAGAAACCCAAAGGAGGTTGCTATGAGTCAGAATCAACTCGATGGCAGTGAGTTTTTTTTTGTGTGTGTGAGGAAATGACAGAATACCCAATTGAGATGTTTCCACAAATGGATGCAATGCCAAAAGGGCTCACTCTTCTATGTCAAGAAATTTGGAAGACAGCTACCTGGCCAAGTGACTGGAAAAGATATATATATTTCTGCCCATTCCAAAGAAAGGTGATCCAACAGAATGTGGAAATTATCAAACAATATCATTAATATCACATGTAGGTAAAATTTGCTGAAAATAATGTTTAAATGATTGTAGTAGTACATAGACAGAGAACTGCCAGAAATTCAAGCTGGATTCAGAAGAGGATGTGGAACAAAGGATATCATTGGTGATGTCAGATAGTTCTTGGCTAAAAGCAGAGAACACCAGAAAGATGTTTACCTGTGTTTTATTGACTATGCAAAGGCATTCGACTGCATGGATCATGAAAAAATTACGGCTAACATTGAGAAGAATAGCAACTCCAGAATACTTAATTGAGCTCATGCAGAACCTGTACACAGGTCAAAAGGCAGTCATTCAAACAAAACAAAGGGATACTACATGGGTTAAAATCAAGAAAGGTATGTGTCAGGGTTATATCTTTTCACCATTCTTATTCAATATGTCTATTGAGCAAATAATTCAAGAAACTGAACTATATGAAGAAGAACAGGGCAATAGGATCAGAGGAAGACTCATTAACAACCTGCAATATGCAGATGATAAAAACTTGCTTGCTAAAAGTGAAGAGAACTTGAAGCATTTACTAATGAATAATGAAGATCAACAACTACAAGCTTCAGTATGGATTACACTTCAACATAAAGAAAATAAAAGTCCTCACAACTGGACCAATAAGCAAAATCATGATAAACAGAAAAAATTGAAATTGTCAGGGATTTTATTTTACTTGGATCCACAATCAATGGTATTTTCAACTGCCTCATATGCATGCAAAAGCTGGACAATGAATAAGGAAGACTGAAGAAGAATTGATGCACTTGAATTATGGTGTTGGCAAAGAATATTGAAATACCATCAACTTCCAGAAGAACAAACAGATCCATCTTGGATAAAGTATAGCTGGAATGCTCCTTAGGAGTGGGGATAGTGAGACTTTGCCTGTTGTACTTTGGTCATGTTGTCAGGAGGGACCAGTCACTGGAGAAGGATATCATGATTTGTAAGGTAGAAGGTCAGAGAAAAAGAGGTAGACCCTCAATGAGATGGACTGCCACAGTGCTGCCACAATGGGCTCAAGGATAGCAATGACTGTGAGGATAGTACAGGATCAGGCAGTGTTTTGTTCCAATGTAGAGGGGGTCACTATGAGTCGGAACCAATTCAATGGCACCTAACAACAACTACAACTATGTGTATAAGTTTTTAACTGCTTCTCTCCTCCAATCAGAATGTAATCTCCATAAGGTCAAGTCTATATCCCTGGCACTTAAAACAGTACCAGACACACAGCAGGCACTCAATAAATATTTGTTGAATAAATTACTAAATGCAAAACCAATGAATAAATTCATACTACCTTAGGGCATGGCAAAAAATAATCATACTTGGCATTAGGTAGCATGGGACAAAGGGCATTAAAAAAAACTGTTTGCTTCTAAAAAAAAAAATTTTAATGAAGAAAAATTTGGGGTTAACTTCTGAATACCTACCCTTTGTGCTAAAGAGAGGTCACCATCATTTCTCTATGTATATGTGTATGTGTGTGTGTATTTGTTATTAGCTGCTATGGAGTCAGCATTGACTCATGGCAACTCCAGACATGATGGGATTGGACAACATTATCCTGAGTGTTTTCACTGGCTGATTTTTCAAAAGTAGATTGCCAGGCCTTTGTTACTACTGTTTTAGTCTGGAATTTCCATGGAAACCTGTTCAGCACCACAGCAACACACAACCTTCCACTGACAGTTGAGGGTTGGCTATGCTTGAGGTGTATTAGTTGGGAATCAAACATGAGTCTCCTACAGGGACAGCAAGAATTCTACCACTGAACCATCACTGCCCCTATGTACTTGAGTGTAGGTATATACACACCTACTACTCACTTACCTACTATCTCATTATCTGACATTTCACATTTACAACAATAGTTAAAAATCTACTATCCTACTATTTTATACATTAACAATGTATGTCTGGTAGTAACAAATGACCATCTAATGTGTGAGGTGAGAGTAATGCTGACTGTGATAGTTAAGGCGACGTGTTATCTTGGCTGGGTCAAGATCCTCAATGGTTTGGCAGTTTTGTAACAATGTAATATAGCAGTTATGCCCTGATGTACTTTGGCAAGTTAGGTAATGATGTAGTCACCCTCCATTTTCACATAATGCTGATTTTCACATAATGATTTTGTCTTTAGAACCTAAATGCCATTGAGTCAATTATGACCCATATTAACCCTATGTTGTTGTTGTTGTTATGTGCTGTCAAGTTGGCCCCGACTCATAGCGACCCCTCCTTGGGTTTCCGAGGCAGTATCACCACGGATGTAGATTGCCCAACCTTCCTTCCGAGGAGTGGCTGGTGGGTTTGAACCACCAGCCTTCTGGTTAGCAGTCAAGTGCCTTAGGCACTATGCTACCAGAGCTCCTAGTTATTAACCCTATGTTGTTGTTGTTGTTATTTGCCGTCGAGTCAGCCCCGACTCATAGCGACCCCTCCTTGGGTTTCCGAGGACCCTATATATATGAAAGAACCCCTGGTGGTGCTGTGGTTAAAGTACTCAGTTGCAAACCAAAAGGTTTTTCACTTGAAAAATGGTTTTATTTTAGGAATCTTTTAGATAGCAAGTTTCTATACCATATAGCAAGTATGATTAAAAAAAAATGAACTGTACAAAAAAATAAGTTTTTAACTGCTTGTCTCCTCCAATCAGAATTTAGGCTCTTATGTACTACACAGAACTATTTTTGTAAACCCAAAATAAATCCATTGCCATCAGGTCAATTCCAACTCATAGCAACCCTGCAGGAAAGAACAGCATTGACCCATGGGGTTTCCAAGGCTGTAAATCTTTACAGAAGCAGAGTGACAGAAGCAGACCTTTCTCCCATGGAGCAGCTGGTGGGCTTAACTGCTGACCTTTTGGTTAGCAGCCAAGCACTAAACTACTGTACCACCAGGGCTCTGTAAACCCAAACTTCAGATAAATTGTCCAATACCTCTTCCATACTTCCACACCATTGAGTTGTCTCTTCCCCTATTTGAACTGGCATGAGAATTGGTTTCTTACAAAATGATTCAGCTATGATGAGAGTTCAATTTTATTTGAGTAGATATATACCAATATTATTGTGAAAAAAATGATGGCACTACATAGTGCTCCAGGTATCAGCAAACACACACAAATACCAAGTTAATCTATATAACATTCATATAGAACAGGTGACCCACATCCTTCCTTACCCTAATAAGGTAAACATAACCTTCTATAAATAACAATGATGCCTCAGACCCCACAACTTTCAAAAATATATAGTATACCTGTGTGAATCGGTCACAGTCAACAATGCGGAAGGTTTTGCCATAAATTGTGATGTTTATTCCTCGATTTAGATCTTTCCAATGGTAATGGTCTCCTCGGTCATTCTTGGTTAGCCGCTGGCGTTTGATTAACTTGCCCTGAAGGATTCCAGAGTTTTCCACAACAGGCTCTACAATAGACATGCTGTCATCTTCTAGATAATAGTAAATGTTCACTTGACGGACCCTATAATGTTCCTCAGTTGACATAGGGACATCTTCTTGGAAATAGGCATCAAATTTCAGAACCTATAACACACAAGGGCAGGAGAAATGGTGTTGTATTAGTTTCTTATTTTAAAAATATATATCAATAACCTTCCTGTGAAGAAAACCACAAAAGAAGATTTGAATACTCATCATTTCTATCCTCTAAATCAAGGGTTGGCATACTACGGTCCATGGGCCAAATCCACCCTGCTACCTGCTTTTGTATGACCTGTGAAACAATCATAGTTTTAATATTTTTAAATGGTTGAAAAAAATAAAAAGAGTAAGTATCTCATGGCACAATAAAATTACAAGAAATTTGAATTTCAGAATCCACAAACAAAGTTTACTGGAACACGATCACATCTTTTTAATGGCTGCTTTTACACTATAAGGACAGAGACTGTATGGGCTACAAAGCCTAAAATATTTACTATATGGCTCTTAAAAAAAAACTTTACTGATCTCTGTGCTAAATATTCAAACCATGTGTAGTTCATTTACTATGGATGCCCCTTAGTGAGATAGTTTAAAATAACTTAACTCTACTAGATTCTATTTCAAAAATCATATATATAGTATAGAAGAATATACTTCTATTACAAAAATTCTCAGAAGTTCTGGAATGAGTAAGAAATCTGGATGAGACTGTGAGCTTTAGTTTCAAAATGAAACCCATTTCTTAGAAGTGGAGTCTCTTGTAAATGCACATTAATGACACAATAATTCTTATAAATTTTACATGAATGACTTTCAAATTATCAATTCATCATACAGTCTTTGGAGAACATGTAGCTTATTGTCACTGTGCTCAGAAACATACATAATATATGGAGCAAACCCTCAGTCCTCTAGGGACCATCATTGCAGAGTCAAAATGGCACAAACATTTATATTTTTAAAATTATAAAACAGTATTACAAAAAGTATATGTTGATATGCTTTGTAATTCATTTTTAAATTTCTGTTCAGGGAGGGGAGGTGTTAGAATGACATTTTAGGTAGGTAAGAGTATTTGTCCAAACCTGTACTAGAATAAAAGGAAGAAACTAAGAAGGGCCTTAAATGGAGACACAAATATGGCTCAAACATGGGAAGATGAAATCTTTCTACACTTTAGAGATGTTACCAAAAAAGGTATGATGTTTAATGTGTTCAACATCATAGCAGTACATATGCCTCCACCGACAGACAAATGGTGGCTATGCTCTAGGTACATTGGCTGGGAATTGACCTGCGTTTCCCACTATATTTGAGTCACAGATCTATAGATACACAAAACAATAGAACCAGAAGTGATCAGTGAACCCAACTCCTTCATTTTACAAATGAGGAAAACTGAGACCCAAGACAATAAAATGGCTTGACTGAGGCCATAAAGGTGGTTGGGGCAGAGGGGGGAACGAATCTCAGACTGCAAACTCAAAGCCCAATGTTCTGTCCACACTCCTCACTATGTCTTAGAAAACAGGAGCCCTGGTGGCACAACAGTTAAACGTTCAGCTGCTAACTGAAATGCTGGTATGGCAGTACAAACCTGCACAGCAGTTCTGCTCCCATACAGATTATAGGCAAGAAAACCCTGTGGGATAGTTCTACTCTGTTACATAGGGTTGCTCTGAGTTGGAATCAACTCAACAACATCTGGTAACAACAAAATGCTTCATAAAAGGGATCTGCGTGGGCTCCAGTGGTCAGAGAAAGTTTAGCTGAGAGGATATAGATATTATGAACTTCAAAGACTGGGAAGAATTTAAATAACCAATGATGTCTTAAACCAGAGTATTAGTAGATGGGGTAGGAGCTGGATTCTGGTTAAATTTTGAAGATAAATCCTGATGGGTTAGATGAGAGAGATGAGAAAAAGAGAATGTTCAAGACTCCAGAATTTTGGGCCCAAGCAAGTGGGAGGATGGACTTGCCATCAAATTGATATGAAAAAGATTGAAGTAGAGTAGATATATGAGTTGAGAGAGATGGTAAAATTGAGTTTGAGATATCTATTAGACATCAGGGAGCTCTGGTAGCATAGTGCCTAAGGCATTTGACTGCTAACCAGAAGGCTGGCGGTTCAAACCCACCAGCCACTCCTTGGAAGGAAGGTTGGGCAATCTACTTCTGTAGTGAGTGATACTGCCTTGGAAACCCAAGGAGGGGTCTCTATGAGTCGGATCCAACTTGACAGCAATAAGTTTGTTATTTTTTGGTTATTAGACATTCAAAAGGTGATGTCAAATAGATAGTTGCATCTACAGTCTGGAATTCAGGAGAGAGCTCATTATCATAGAGAACGTTTCAAGTCTGGATGAGGTCATTAAAGGAGTAATTGTAAGCAGAAAGCAAGATCAAAGACTAAGCAGCCCTGGGGCACACCCTTGTTTCTACACAGTCTGTTTTCTAAGATTGGATAAAGTGATGAAAATACCTTTGGCAACAGGAATTTGGCCCCAGAATGGGAGGCAGGAACGGTGTAATGCGCAAATGTGCGCATGTGCACATGAGCAGATTTTTGCATTGTTTTTTAAAAAATCCAAGTGACAATGAGTTATTTGAAAGCAAACATTCAAACTATGCTGTATGATAGTATGGATTAATCCTAATCACCTACCTTTGTGTATCTACAGTACTGAACTATGACTACACAAATATTTTGTAAAATCCAAAAATTACTTCTGAAGCACTGAAAGATTAAATAATATACAGCTCAAATTTGGCATTTTATTCATTTTGCTACTTTCAGGTTCTGTGAGGAAAAGAAGTAACTTACTATGTATAGTACATTTGGTACTTATGTAGGAAACTGCCTATTCAATTAACTGGGGCACTAAACTCTCAAGTTCTTTAGATAAATGAGAATTTAAAACAAACCCCCTAAAGTTTTGATTTGGTTTGTTTTTTGTCTGTACACTCTTCTCTAATCATTTAATATCTATCAACTTGTTCAATAAAGAACTTGAGTTTCCTCTGTCATATGATCTACATATATGGCCAAGACTATATATTTTCAAAAGAGCTCTGATGGTATAGTGGTTAAAGCATTTGGCTGCTCACTTATATGTTGGTGGTTCAAACCCACTAGCCACTCAATGGGAGAAAGATGAGGCAGTCTGCTTCCTTAAAAATTTACAGCCTTATAATTCACGGTACAGAGAGCCAAGCCAATGTGTGAGATCTCAGGTAAACAATAATTTAACCCAAAAATATTTGCTTATTTGATTGTTAACCTAAAAGATTATCAAGAACAAAATTAAGGGTCCTGTGCTTCTCCCACAAAGAAATGACTGGGGAAGAAATTAATGTAGGAAAGCACTTCAGGAATAATAACATTAGCTTTCACAGGTAGAATAAGAACTTGATGTATTATATAGAAAGCAATGAAAAAGCCATCATGTTTAGATATTGTATTTTAAAACATATTCTTCATAGAATTTTAGAGTTGGATGGGATTTTAGTTATCATGTATCCTAACCTTCTGCTTTCATGGATGAGAAAACAAGAGATGATGGCTTTCCAAGTTCACTGAGCTAGTTAGGAAAGAATCAGAATTAGAACCCAAATCTCCTAACTCTCAGAATGCCAAAATAAACATGGAAATACTTGCATTTACTTCCAAGATTGAGAGGGACATGCTGAATAAATTTTCCTATCACACACAATTATAAAAACCCTAGTACATGTTCGGCTTGTCAGTTTTCAGCAGTGACACAGACAAATTAATTGTGTTAAATAATTATTCATCTCATTTTTAAACTAGTATTTATTGATCAATGATTATAGAATAAAGCAGACAAGTTCCTGCCCTTATGAACTATATAGTCAGGTAGAATAGATAAACAGTAAACAAATCGGTAATAAAAGTATAATATAATTCTATGAAGGAAACAAAGAAAAGGATGTGATAGAGAAAAACAGAAAGGGCCTTCCTGAGCAGGGCAGCCTGTAGGAGACGTTATATAAGCCACACTGGAGGATGAGATGGAGTGAGCCACTGAAGGACAGAGGAAATACTATTCCAGGGAGGGGGAACAGCATGCACAAAGGCACTGCAGGGTGTGTGTGTGTGTGCGCACGTGCACACACTGCAATTTTAAGGCAATAAGTAAAACAAATCCAATGTGACTGAAGTACATACTAGGTGAGGAAAGGAGCCCAAGATGAAGTTGAGAAACATCAGGCAAGCCTGGCTCCAGTGAGATGTGAGGGCCTGGTAGAGCTGGATCTTAGTCTATACATGATGAGGAAGCCATGGAAGTGCTGTACGTCAGGATGTGACATAATCTGAAATTTATTTTTAAAATACAGTAAAGCCTGCAAAAGTTAGATCTTGTGAAAGGCAGACACCTGTCAGAAAAGGAAAACTCAAATATTTTCCATTAACAGAAAGCAATAGAAAAGTGCTCAAAGGTGGAAAATGTGTAAGACCCAGAAAAACAAGACAGATTTTACTGTATAAGCCAGGAAAATGAACTGATTAGTAGTAATGGGGGAGCTGGAAATAGTGGACAGATTAGTGATATATTTTAGAGGCAGAAATGGCAGAGTTTGTTACTAGATGGGCTGTGGGCTGTGGGCTGTGAGGGACAGAAGAATCAAGATGACTTTTAAGTTGGAGGCTAGAGCAGCTGGGTGGATAGCGGTAACATTCACTGTGTTGCTTCAGAATGGAAAAGCAACAGGTTTGGGGAAGGTGATCATGACTTATGATTTTTAATACGTTAAATCCAAGTCATGTAGATCTATTTTTGAAATGGGGGCTTAGAGGTGAGGTTTGGGCTAGAGATAAAGTAGAGAAAGAAGGAGACTCAGGCACAAGCCCAGGGGAACTCTCAATTCTAGAGTCTGAAAAGGGAAGACGAAATCTGCAAAAATAAATAAATAAATAGATAAATAATGCAGAAATAACAGTCAGAAAGGTAGTTAGAAGGAAAATGAAAAGTATGATGTCATATAAGCCACGAAAGTGTCAACTACTTCAAATTCTGTTGAAAGAGAGAGTAAGCAGCCATTGGATTTGTTAACAAAGAAGTTGCCAGTGACAA